CGAAAGCAGCGATACTCGGTGATCTTGCAGGGGGTTTGCGACGTTCAGAAAAAGTTCTTGAGTATCTATGCAGGCTAGCCAGGTAATTACTTTTAATTTTTTTCTTCTATCATCTAATTGGTTTTTCTTTTTCCCAGGGAGTGTTCATGACATGAGGGTTTTTCAGAACTCTAGGCTATGCCGCAAGATCTAAACAAGGGAATTACTCACAGTTCCTCGAGAGTTTGCTTTTGACGAGTGGATTGAGCCATACCTGGTGGGAGACAAGGGCTACTAGCTGTAGCAGCACTTGATGATCTCTCACTTAGGTAAACTGATTGTTTTTTTTTTTCAATTATTCATTTGAAACAGGTTCCCGGTTGATGATGACTGAGGCGGAGTACAACCAGCAACACCATCTGGCCCAGATTGTTATTAAACAAGCATTTGGACTCTTGAAAATGAAATTCAAATGCTTGGATCAAAAACAAAGGATCAAGCTAAAGTACTTGCTGAACATCATCAAAAGTTGTTGCATCTTGCACAACTTCTTGATTGATGTTGGTGAGACAAACATCAATGTCGAGATCAAAGCATGGGAGAAACACATTCAAGCCTTGAAGGAACCAAAGATTTTTGAAGATTACAAGGATCCTGTTGTGGTTGAGGGAGAACCATAGGAAGACTTGCACGGGCTAGAGGATGCATAGGAGGTCCGAGAGAACCTAACCAACTTCCTATGTTTACGGCATCGTAGAACTGCGTGATTGCTATATTCAAGTTTAATATTTGAAATTTGAAATTTGAAATTGAAATTTAGGGTTAGCATTTCGAATTTGATTTGAATTTAAAATTTTAAAATATTTTAAAACATGTTTGAATGCTATTTTGAAGACATTTTAAAGTAAGTCAGATGTGAAGTCACTAGTGTTTTACGTTAAATTTTTACCACAAAAACTTATGCAAGTGGGAATGAAAATGTTTTAAAATGCATACTTAAAGCTTAAAACAACCTAAAAACTACTGAAGTGCAAATGCAATAGTCACAAAAATTAAAATACACATTTTAAAATATTTTTATATAAAGCGCAGGTGCGAATGGCATATATCCAATGCCACAATCGAAACACTTCCCCAATTTAAGGTCCTCTATTCGTTATGCCTTCTCCTGGGGTGTCATCTCTTTCCACATTGATTGTACAGTAGTGAAATAGTGTGTCTCTCATGTTAAAGTATAAGTAACAGACATAAATGCAATTGCAAAAATAGTATAATAATGGGGCCTTTCAGCATCTTTTTGGCACCCAATTGGAGATATATAAGTAATGATAATTACAATAGTAATTTGCCATTGCAGTTGTTTCCCCTTTCTTGCTAAAATCATCTATTTCTTCCAATGTGTATATAGTGGTAAGTTTGTTGTAAAAAAGCAACTTTGATTATTTTACAGTAAATAACTTTATGAAATGGACTTATGAAGTTGTTGTTCTCTTCATATAATCAACTTCAAGATTTTTATGTATTTAGAGTTCTTTAATTCTCCTAGAAAATGTATGTATCATATTTGATCTTCATTGCACTCAAAGCATGTGCTCCACCAGAGGATTTGGAGAGCTACTAGAAGATCCATAGTGATGCTGAAGCTCTTTGTCACTAGTGAATGCCTGTGCAAAATGCCAAGGTATAACGAAGAGTTACATGGCATTTGATTAAATGCTACAGCATGGCACTATGTCTTGTAATTCTTGGGGATGGTCCAAAATTGAGTGAAGCTCATGAATTAACTCAGCTCAAGTCAATGCTAATTAATGTAGTCAACCATAATTTTTACAAAGAAATTTCATATTAAAAAAAATATTGAACTCTAAATTTATAAATTTATGGAGAAATTTAAAATTTTTTTAAACTATTAATGGAGAGAACTTCTAATTTTTAATGCAAGCTATACAATAAAATACTGATTAAGTAGTTTCTTATAATTGTTATTTTCTATATTCACAGTGTTCTAGATAAAATAAGCTTTTTTGGTCCCAAATAAAAATGGAAATATTGAAGATTGCCATGAACTAAATTTCTATTTTGACATTTTAACATTTTGACATTTCAACAATTCACCACTACACATCAAGCAAGAAATATATAGATAATTCAAAATACTTAATTATTCATTCTCTAGTATTTTACAAAGTTGGGAAGCAAGGAAAACCAAAAATCTGTAAGTAATTCTAGCATAAAGAAATATGATCATATTAATTTTGCTTCACTACCATAATTTTTATATTACATTCCTGGTATTTATTACTCATCTAGGAATATAAAAACCATTATCACTATTGATAACAATGCTCATATTACTTCTGAAACAATAATTTAGAGTTGAATATTATAAAAAAAAAAGTAAACTATTTGTTTATTTTTTATTTCTCTTTGTATGAGCATAATATATTGTTGTAGTGAATCTCTACAAGGAGTATAAATGTGTAGTATATTCATCTTGTATCATATGGTGTGGATGATCTCTATGAATTAAAAAGTCAAATTTATATATATTTTTGAGATTGAAAAGTAATATTACAAATGCATATGTAGCTATATAATAATAGCAATTTAATTATGAACTTGTATCTAACAATAGGTTGTAATTAATATGTACAATTAATATTTGGTCTATTGCAATGTAATGAGCTTCCTCATGGAGCTGGGCCAGGAGCCACGGACGAGCTTGTTGTCCCAAGATTGAGATGAATCCTTAATAAACAATATAGTCATCAAAAAATTCTCATTATTGCACAGTTCAATGAGAGGAACTTTCAAGGGCTTTTGAAAGCAGTGGCTACTCAAGCAGGAGATTGACAACTCCAATATGATGTGCGTTGAGGCCATGGGCGTTGCAATGCTTTCAATCAGCTGGATCACATCCTAGCAAACCTTTCGCGCTGGGGTGAGGGTGAACGCGAGCTCGGGCAGGGTGCGCAACTTGGCAACGCTCAGCACTCCCTGCGGTCAGTCATGCCCGACCAGCGTCCTTCCCATCTTCACGTGCGCTGGGAGACGCAGCAAAACGCGCAGAGATGCCGCTCGCCGCCTCGGCCGTTGGCACCTTCGGTCGAGGGATCTGACGTGCGGAGGGGACAGAAGAGCACTGGTGGTGCTAGCAGCAGCAGTGGCGGCGGCGGTGGTTTGTACTGAGGGACGCAGTGAGCTTTGGGACCAGCAGCAGCATTGATATTGCTCGATGCCTGGTAGGGCGTGGGACTTGGCGATGGTGCGTGTGAGCGTTCCAGCTAAGGACATGATCATGGATGAGCCTGCTCCTGCCGATAGTGTGCACATCGATCTCTATTACATCCAATCCCTTATGCTCCGAAACGATGGGAGTTTGCGCTTCAAAGTTGAGACTTGTTTATCCCTCCGCGTAGAATTTTTTTCGAACATCAATGACATGAATATTTACACGAAACTATAGTTCTAGCCCATGTTCTCGGTAATGCCGCTGCCGCTCCTGCTGGGCATCCATGACATTACCATAAATCTGGCTGTTCTGTGGACGATAGAAGGCGAGCCCACATCCGGATCTGTGATGTTTACGTGTCTCTGCTTCTCAGTCAAGGAAAAGAAGTAAAAACCGATTAAGCTTGGGATGTAAGCCTGTTATTAACAGCCAATCGCACAGACCAATATCCTTGAGCGCTCTACCTTTTCATTCCATAAGGGTTTTAGTGTTAACATGAGGAACAGCGTGGAAGCTCGCTGGTGCTAATCTTCTCAAAGGTGGGAGACGCTCAGCAGATTGCGCAGTGCTCGCTGGTGTGCAAGCGATGGTGGGAGCTGCACTGGGAAGTCACTTGCCTTCCACTTTAATATCAGGGCGAGGACCAAGGCGAGTTGCGAGAGAGAGAAGACGCCATCGTTGCCGTGCTCCAGCGCATCCACATGAAGGCCCCCGGCTGTCTTAAGGAGCTCAGTGTCTCGCTCTCTTGCGAAAGTGAAGTACTGGACGACGCCACTGGCCACTGATTCTCTCAGGGCAGTGATGGGCCAGACGCTGCACTTGGGATCAGCCGTGTGGAGCTGCATCTTACGCTCCCCAACACTCCAGTCCCTCACGATCGATGGAGGCTTCTCCAGCGTGCTGCCTCGCGATCACTCGCCCTTTCGGAGCTTGCGGACTTGCTTGTTACACCGGGCGACCAATTTCTCTGCGGTGCAGATCGAGGCGCTCGTTGCATGCTCCCCGGTTCTGGAAACTTTGAGAATAACGTGTCTCACAGAGGCTTGTGACGCTGTCCAGCTCCAATCTCACAAACTTGGTGTTCCTGGGTGAGCCCAAGGGGAACTGGGACAAGGTTTTCGAAGTTGTTATCAACGCTCCAAACTTAGAGGCCTTGCATGTTGAAATGTTCCAGCCGGGAACAGACGTTCGCATCATGCACCCAGAGGATACCTTGATCAGGCTTGTTCTCTATGGTCCGTGCATACTTCACAAGGAGTGTGGGATGATCCTGAGAAAATATGCAGCATTTTGAAGCACACACCCGTGATCATGAAGCTCCGTTTGGAGATGTTTGTAGTCCCTGCCCTGGATGTCGGCCACCTTTGGCTCGGCTCTCCAGCTTGAGAGATCTGCATTTTGATGCCTTTTCTCTACGAGTAAGCTTGATTTCTCTCGTTTTGCTTTCTATAAATTTGCTTTGCTTCAGCATGGCCTCAAAGAACTATCTGATCACAGGGACTGCAGATTTGAGGCGCTCACTGTGCATGTCTGGGTGAGCAGCAGTTTTATATCCGATCAGATTCTCAAGATGTTGCTCGACGTTCATCAGGTTCGAATGGTTGAGGTGCATCATGACTACGATATGGTGGTGGATCCAGCGACGGGGTCCATGCACCCGGATTACCAGGGGTGGCGTTTGTTGTGCAACTTGATCCCGTGCTATCCCGATCGCATCTTGTTCAAGCGAGAGAGTGATATAAGGTTTCCCTTCATAGAATGGTGTGCGCATCAATCCAGGCGATGGAGCTTGTTGAAACACGTCTAAGTAACATCCATATTTGCTTAAAACTTACATCCAAGAACACGAATATTTACACCGAAGTATAGTTCTAGCCCAAGTTCTCGGTAACGCCGCTCAAACCGACCCCCCTGGGGATTCCATTCTCGGGTGTTGCCGTGTGCTCGCCACCAACAGTGCCGATCGACGCTGGCGGGGACTCAGCCGGAGTCGACGCCGCTTCTTTCTTTCTCTTGGCGTCCATGACTTTATCGTATTTGAGGAAATCTGGCTGGTTTGTGGACGACAGAAGGCGAGCCCACATCCGATCTGTGATGTTTACGTGTCTCTGCTTCTCAGTCACCCTCTGATCCAAAGGAAAAGAAGAAAAAACCGATTGCTAAACAGAGGAAGACGAGGAATCTCGAGGAAAGCTTACGTGAATTGGGATGTAAGCATGCCTGTTGTTTACAGGACCAACGGTGAAGCCAGTGTAGCCAGCCATTGCTCCGTGGATCGCACTGTGAGCGAGTAGAGTGCAGTAGACATTGTCCGAGGCGTTGCTCCGGATTGCTCGGATCATATACGTTGGATCTGAAAATCAAAAGTTGAGAGAAAAGAAAAGGCAAGAAAAACACGTAGGCACTGACCAATGTACTTGAGGTTGATGATCTCCTTCTTCTCGGTGAAGTGGTCCTGTTTTTACAAGTTGAGTTGAGCACGAAACGAAAGCCCTTTTCCCAGAACTTACCTTGAGCTTTGAGCAAAGCCACTGACCAACATCCATCAAAAGTTTGTTCCCAGACGCGTCTAGTCCGCCCGTCTCTTTGAAACTCTGGGCCATTAGCTCTTGCCCTGCGCCTTCAGCGACGACGAGAACCAGGTGGCCATTCTCCCTGAGCCGCTTCTCTACGAAACTGTAAAGTCCTCCTTTGCCTTCCAGGTAGAATGGCACTTCAGGTATCAAGCAGCAGTCCTGTATATAACACAAGCGAGGAATAAAAACTCGGAGGAAGCATTGACAGACAATAACCATACCACGTCACGGCTCGCCAGAGTTGCGTACATCGCAATGTATCCTGTCACGTATCCAAAGAATCATAGTCAATACTTACAGTCGAAAATTGCAATGTTCCCTACCAGTATAGCGACCCATGAGCTTGACCAGGCCAACACCATTCTCAGCACTCTCAGCTTCAGTGTGCGCGGCATCAATTGCGCGCTGCGCTTCCTCCACCGCCGAGTCAAACCCAAACGACTTGTCTATAACCTGAAACACTGTCCTCGCTAAGTACCACCGACAGAAACTTCGTCGAGTTCTTACCGCGATATCGTTGTCTATGGTTTTTGGAATGCCAGCCACGGCAACTTTAACTCCTCTCTTACGAATTTCCTGGAACAGCAAAAATATTTTATCAGACCAACAGCCTGACAAAAACTAAACTCACTTCGTAGATAGCATTCACTCCTTTCTGTGTGCCATCTCCACCGATAATGTAAACCTTGCGAAAAAAAAGCACCAAATAGGTAGTAAGCACATCATTCCGACTTAACTTTCCACCTGGCTATACCTGATTGATGCCTCGATCCACGATGCTGCTCACAATCTTGTTGATATCACTTCCACCTCGTGACGTTCCAAGTATGGTGCCACCGCGTTTGTGTATATCATTCACAACCTTGGGGTTCAGCGGCCTCGTGTTTCGGGAATAAAATCCCTTGTAGCCTGCCTGAAGTTGCAACATGTAAGTTACTGCCGCTGCTTCATCAGCAAACTCGTACCTCAATTCCCAGGATGTCTCGAACACCATACTGAGTCCAAAGTCCACAGACGATCTCACGGATGACTGTATTAAGTCCGGGACACAGGCCTCCGCAAGTAACAATGCAAGCTCGGACCTCGTCGGCTTTGAAATAGATCTGCCAAGAGCGTAAGTTTGTAGATCACAAAGAGTTTCAAGACTATTACCTACCTGTTCACGAGGACCAGCACGCCGGAAGTGAATGCCTTCTCCTGGTGTTTTGAGCGTGACAACAATCTGGATAAACACAGAAGCAAGTCGGGGCAATGATCGACCAAGAGAAACCAAAGAAAACTCACATCTTTGGCGACCATGGCGTCCTCGTCCACAAAGTATTGCTTGACCGCCACATACGCTGGATTGTGCTTTAGAGGATTCGCATACGTCTGCCAAGGAAGAAGAAAACAACGTTCGTCGATCCAGGTTCCCGAGGATCCGATAGAAAAACTCACCGGAAGGTCCGGCAGCCAGTCGGTGACGTGAGGCACGTCCTCCAGCACCGCTCCATTGGCTCCGTTAACCAGCTTCACATCCGAAGAAGGATTTGACGAAGCCGAATCCATCGAAGGCGACGAATTCGACGAAGAGTTCTTCGACGCCGACACGGGCTTCCTCCTCCTGTGTCTTACAAGCCCCGGAGACGAAAGCCTCAGCCTTCTGGAATGACCTCCAGCCCGGAAAGAAGAAGAAGAAGAAGAATGAGAACAATGGACTCTACTGCTGCTGCCCAAACTTTTCCTGTGCTCCAATCGATCCACCAATTCCGACCCCTGAGCCGGGCCACTGCATCCCAGATGCATCGCAGCCATCGAGCTAGACTTTCTCAAACAGGAAAGCTTCGCTGCTGCTGCTGCTGTGCTGCGTGGGTTTTAGCTCGATTGGATCTACGGACCAAAGTGGCGACCGCCACGTGCCCCAGAATATTCCCCATGCCCGCGAATATCCCCCACCTGTCCTTTTTCCCTGTTTTGCCCTAACCACCGTTTCTTAGCCACCGTTTTTTAGGGTTCTTGGGCAGCAGCGTAAATGTTGGCCATGAGAACGCATGGGACGTCGCCGCGATCGCTGCCCAGCTTCTCGAATGCGAGCTTCCCAACCTCCACATTCCTCCACTTCGCGCTCGCGCCCAGCAGCGTCTTCCAAGTCACTGGGTTGGCGACGAACGGCATGCTCCTGGCCATGGCCACCGCCTCGTCCAGGAGATTGGCCCTCCCCAGCGCGTCCACCACGCAGTGGTAGTGCTCGATCTCCGGGGCGATGCCGTAGCGCTCTCGCATCGCCCGGAAGAGCCCGCGGCATTGCTCCACCATCCCTGCGTGGCTGCAAGCCGTGAGGATGGAGAGGAAGATCACTCGGTTTGGATGGATACCTTCGTCGCGCATCGTTCCAAACAGCTCCAGCGCGCGATCCGTGTCCCCCTGGCGAGCGTATCCCGCGAGGATCGCCCCCCAAGTCACCGAGTTCCGGCTCTCCGGCTCCAGCGACGCGAAGATCATCTCCGCCTCCGCCATGGCTCCACACTTCGCGTAGAAGGCGACGAGGCTGTTTGCGACGAACTGGTGGTGCTCGAGCTTGTACCGGCAGATCTGCGCGTGGATGTTCTTGCCGGAGTCGAGAGCCGCCGTGTTGCTGCACGCCACCAAGGTGGCGACGAAGGTCTGAGGATTTGGAGCGCAACCGCGACGCTGCATTTGCTGGAAGAGATCGAGAGCGAGCTTTCCATGGCCGTTTTCTGCGTAGCCGAGTATGAGAGAAGTCCAAGAAACCACGTCGTGATTTACCATCCGATCGAAGGCTCGCTGAGCGTCCAGCATGCTTCCACACTTGGCGTACATCTCCACCACCGCGCTGGCCAGGAACAAGTCGGAAGAAAGATCAAAGCCAGCGTAACATGCTGCTTGAGAGTGGATCGCCATCCCCCTGTCAAGGCAGCTCAGTTTCGCAAGATCTGATCCAGGGTCGAGCTCCTTGCCTTGTTTCGCAGCCATAGTCGCACAGGCCGATAGCGCGGCAATGAAAGTCCGGGAGTTTGGAAGGCAGGCGCTGGAATCTCGCAGGAACTCGAACAGCTCTAGCGCAAGCTCGCTCTCGGAATTCTTTACGTGACCGAGTATCAAACTCGTCCAGGAAACCACGTCGTGGCAAGGCATCCTGTCAAAAACACATCGAGAATCCATCACGCTCCCACTCTCGGCATACAAATCCACGAGAATACTTGCCAGGCACGTCTGCGACTCGAATCCACTCCTCGCAGCATCGGCATGGATCTCCATACACTTCTCCAGACTCCCCAGCTTCACAAGAACGCCATCGATTTCTCTGTGCTCTTCGCTCTCTGCCAAGCCAAAACAAGCCATTAGCGCTGCCACAAAAGTTCTAGCGTTTGCTTCGCAGCAGCCTCTAGAAGTTCTTACGTGAGTGAAGATCTCGAGAGCTAGATCGTTGTCCCCGTTTGCTCCATATCCCACGATGAGAGAGTTCCAGGAAACCATGTCATGCCAAGGCATGGTATCGAAAGCCAAGCGAGCATCCACCATGCTTCCACACTTGGCATACAAATTCACCAAAGCATTCCCCACAAAAGTGTCTGAGAGGGAGCCCGTGATCTTAGCTCGAGCATGGATTTCCATTCCCTTCTCCAGGATGTAGCTCCTGTGTTCCTCGTTCTTGGAAATCTTCGCTGCCATCGCCGTGCAAGCCATGAGAGCAGCGAGATAGGTTCTAGCGTTTGCCTCGCACCCCTCACGCAGCATCCGCTGGAACGATCCAAAAGCCTGCTCGAAATCCCCATTCTCTACATACCCCATGATCAAGGAATTCCACGACACAGTGCTGTGCCGCGGCATTCGATCGAACACCGCGTAGCTCTCGGCCATGGCCCTGCATTTCGTGAAGGCATTGACGGCGCTGTTGGCGACGAAGAGATTCGAGTAGAGGCCGGTCTCCACGGCATCGCGGTGGATCCTCCGGCAGCTCTCCAAATCCCCGGACGGAACACATGCCCTGAGCGCGATGAGGATCAAATGCGCCAGCGCAGCGTGCCCTGGCTGCTCGATCAATGAATGTTGTGATACGAACCTGAAAATCCTGCGAGCCTGATACATACATTTTCTAGTTCTAGGAGAATCCAAGAACCCTAATCTGGAAACCCTAATATACAAAAGGTAAAAGTTCATTAAGACTTCCAAAGCTTTCCACAACAAACAATAATACCTATGCTCATCTATGTTTCTTCATAAACTATGGCAAAGAAACTGCTGTATATTACAGCTTGTTTGCTAATCACTTCACGTTTTAAGAAATGGTGTTTTAGAAGAGCATGATATGTGTTTTTTTTCTTGAGTTGCAAACCCAGATCAAAACCAGTTCTTGAGATGCAAACCCAGATCAAAACCAGCATTTTCTGCTTGAGGATTCAGTTTCGCGAGATTTCTAGGGTCAAGCTTCACTCACATAAGCTGGGAAGCAAACGTTAGAACTTCTGTCACAGCGCTTTGGCTTGGCTGAATCAAGAGCATATAAATCTAAAAGAATACTTGCCAGGCACATCTGCAACTCAATTTCATGATCTTTGTACACTTACAGGCTCTCCACCCTCATCGATTTCTATATGCTGAGTGGGCATGATGGGTTCTTGATGTATTTTTGACAGGATGTCTTGCCATGACTTGGTCTTCTGGACGAGTTTCATATTTGGTCACGTGAAAAACTTTGAGAATGAGCTTGCTCTAGAGGTGCTTGAGTTCATGCACGAGTCTGGTGCCTGCCTTTCAAATTCTCATGGATTTCATTGCTGCACTATTGGTCTGTGGAATGATGAGAGCTATATTGCTGTCTTATTTGCTCTAAGAGCTTTCTAGTGATGCCAAGGTGGTATTAAAAACCAAGTGAGCATTCATTATGCTTTTGCACTTGGCATTCAAATTTAAAAGTATTCTCCATAGCTTGAGCATGTATTTCCATTTCCTTCTACAGGATATCACTCTTGTGTACCTTTGCCTCATACACCTTTAACCCTCCAAGTGTTAAAATTATAAAGCTAAATCTGAAAATCTCATCATCTCTACTATATATTTCAGCTTGTTTGTTTCACTTCATTCTAGGAAGAAATGGAGTTTTCTAAAAGCATGATATGTGTTTTTCTGGTGATTTTTACTCTAGTTGCAAATTCTAAAGATGCAAACTTAGAAATTATACCCAGCAAGAAAGCTCTATGAAAGTTCCTATAATAACAGGTTGCTCATGTTCTATATTTTATTGTCTTGATCCATACATAACATGCAATTGTACCTCTAAGAAATAAATGTTATTTATTACTATTAACTACATTCATAAAGCTAATAAATTTTTTTTGCAATTCTTAAACTTGGTCAATCTCTCAAGCTAGATGGTTAATGGAGTGGCCCAATGCTCCAGTTTCAATAACAGCCACTACACATCCATAAGCAGCCTCAATGACAAAGGATTAGTAATATCAACTCCAGCCATATCGCTCTCTATCAAATGCCTAAATCTTGAGAAGGCGTTCAAGTTGTAGCTCCAAATCACTAACACCAATATCCAGCTATAGAAAATTCCCTTTTGCAGGCAAGAGTAAGGAAATATGATTAGCCACTCAGATGACCATGGCAAGTAAGATCTAGTTATATGTCATCCATCCCAGGCAAATATTGGAGGAGGAGTATACTCGTATGCCTATGTGGACAGCTAATGGTAGTGTAGATCTTTGATCAAAACCAATAACCCAAGATTGACTCTTGCAAGCAAGTTCAAGTGAGCCTTTTTATATTAATCAATTCACAAAGCACTCTTTTATTTTTGTCTTTTGGCACTCTTTTGCTTCACACTCGTCGTTGGCTACTAGAATATCATTACAAGACACAAATATGATTGTAGTGTTATAGGGGTATAACCTCACTATAGACTCAAAATCCCATAGAAAGACACTTGAAAAATACCATTGAAAAATGCATTCTATCATCCAATTTCACACTCTAAATATATCTAAGAATATCCCTAGAATCATACCCATGCTCTACAGAGGATTACCCTCACCGAGAACCTATGGTCTACAAGTTGGAAAGGAATGGCATAAGTTTTACATGGTAATAAAGAAATGATGGATGGATGATGAGGGAAATGGGGTTTAAAAGAAGAAATGACAAGACTTAAATAAAATAAATTGCTGCGCATTGCATTGCAGCAACGTTTGGTTTGCTTTTTTTAAAAAAATATTTTTTATTATGATATATAATTTGTTATGATCTGTCCAATATGCAGGTGCTATAACTGCTTTTGTATATATTATATCTTTTATCCATATATGATCTATTAATTTATTATTACATGTATTGTGTTTTATTATTTGTATATATCCTTCTTTCTCCATTATTGTTTGAAGTGGTTTTACTTCTTCTATTTGGTAGTCAATATTAAAATCTCCTGTAATTATTACTGGTTTTTTATTATCTATTTTCTGTATATAGTTTTGTAGTTGTTTTATGAATATATGTATATTTGTTCCAGGTTTTCTATGTAAATTTATTATCTGTAATTGTTTTTAATTTTTTTCTAGTGATACATATGACATTGCCATTGTTTCTGTTTTTAAATGTTCTACTATTTCTGGTTTGTAGTCATTTGTATGCAGTATTGTTATATGTGGGGGTTGTTCATGTATATATGATTTATATTTATTAAAATATAAATCCTCATGTTTTTGTGTTCTTACTTCTTGCATACATATTATATCTGATGTTAATAATTGTGAATCACTCTTTATATCTTCTTGATGTGCAGTAATAGATCTTGTATTTAGAACTTGTATAATTGTTTGGTTAGCTTTTTTTTCTTCTTGTAAATCTATTAAATCAATTTGCCATGGTGCTTCTGTTGTCATTCTTATTATTTCTTTAGCTGCATCTTTGTTGATTTTAATATGTTTATGTTGAATTGGTCTATATAAATGTATCCCTTTTAGTGTTTGT